TATTCTCATCTGCCCACCCCTGTAACCTGTCTAGATCTAGTTGTAGCCTGTCCCTCCCTTCTACAGTGCCCACTTCTTCCCACATCTTAGTGTCATCCACGAATTTGAACAAGGTGCTTTTCACCCCTTCATCCAAGTCGCTGATAAAGATGTTGAACAGTACGGGCCCTAGGACCGAGCCCTGGGGAACCCCACTGCCCATAACCCTCCAGGTCGAAAATGACCCATCCACCACCACTCTCTGGGTGCGACTCTCTAGCCAATTTGTGACCCATCTGACTGTGTAGGCATCAATGCCACAGTCACCTAGTTTTTTAATGAGAATGGGGTGAGAGACGGTGTCAAAGGCCTTCCTAAAGTCCAGAAAGACTATGTCCACTGCGACATCTGCATCCAAGGATTTTGTGACCTGATTGTAAAAGGCAACCAGGTTGGTCTGGTAGGATCTGCCCCTAATGAACCCATGTTGGTTGCCCCTGAGCATAATCTCCCCTACTGGTCCTTCGCAGATGTGCTCCTGGATAATTTTCTCAAAAAGCTTCCCCAGGACCGAGGTAAGACTAATGGGCCTATAGTTACCTGGGTCCTCCTTCCTCCCTTTTTTGAAAATGGGGACCACATTGGCCCTTTTCCAGTCCTCTGGCACCTGGCCAGAGCACCACGAGTGCTCGTAAAGCCATGCCAGGGGCTTCACAATGAGCCCTGCCAATTCCCTCAGCACCCTGGGGTGAAGATCATCTGGACCTGCTGATTTGAACTCGTCCAGCCCCACCAGAAGTTCCCTAACTAGGTCCTCCCTGACCCTAGGCCTGGTGGTGCCTCTCCTGAGTCCATCCGGAATCCCAGTGGGGAGGGATGTCCCGATCCCTGCTCAGAAAAATGGAGGCAAAGAATTTGTTAAAGAGGTTAGCTTTTTCATCTGATGCAACCACCAGATTGCCAAGTGTGTCCTGCAAGGGGCCCCACATTACCCAGTGCCTTCTTTTTACTCCCTATGTATGTAAAAAAGGACTTATTTAACTCCAGCACTTTTTCCTGCCTAGAGCAGGGGGTCAGAGTTGATGATCTACAAGGTCCCTTCTGACCCTAGAAATCTATGAAATCTATGATTGGAATCTCATCTTTTCACTTAAATTTCATACTTTCTTGACTTTTCTTTAAATTATTGTGTCTGGGTGCCAGTTTCAGCCCCACCCCTATTTAACCAGTTTGGATTTGGATGAATGTATACTAAACCTCATAACTTACCTCTTGAGTTTTCTTATAAAGGGACAGCTTGCTCTTTTGCACACGATCCATTGCAGACTCATACTGTAAGAAACACACGGGACTAAGTATTCCTCCTTTTTTAGTGGCAGTATTAGAAGAATTGTCGAAGCATGTCTAAGAGTACACGGCCATAGGGAAAATGATTTGGAGTTGCTTTTGTAACTGACATACTTCTAAATGACACAGAGCACATTAGCATGGCTAACACACAAGGAACAATTCCCTAGAATAATTCTGCTTCAGTGGCATCCATTAATAGCTAAAAGAATGTGGGTCTTCAGTTTCTCTCTCTCTCTTTTTTTTTTTTTAATGAAATTTAAGTAGCACAACACACACACTCCCTGTACATTAAATGTGCCCAAAGAGTTCACTTGTATAAGCACAACTGCTGGAAATGGATCTGGAGCTGTGGCTGGGTTTGTGTAGGCCAGTGGCTCTCAACCAGAGTGCCACGGCACTCTGCAGTACCATGCAATCTTTTTAAAGGGTGCTGCAGGGTGCTATGTAATATTAGTGCTGTTAGGTTTACAAACACCTACACATGATTCATTAGATAAACCCAGAGATAGCAAATATGAATCTATAGTGTCAAAAACCTGCTGTGGTTTTTCTGAGTTCTCTGCAACAGAAGAACTGCTCTAGTATTTTTTCCATCATCAAAAAAGAGTGGAAGCTAAGAGCTGACATTTTTTGGGGGGAGGGGGAGGGTCTGGACTCTAACAAGGGCTGCCATCACTTTGAAAAAGGTTGAGAACCACTGGTGTAGGCAAACTTGTGTTGCACCTTGCTGAGTTATGGGCTTGTCCATTCTAAATGTGAATAATTCCTTTGAGATTAATAAGGTATCACTTCATCTCTGCCAAATGATTATGCGCTTCCATGCACATCACCCTCTTAGCTTAAAAGGACATTGTTACATGCTTTCTTTTAAATTTAGGTTGGTTGATAACTCCCAGCTGGAAGCTTAAGTGCGATGCTTTGCTATCAGGCAGGCAGATCTCTCTCACCCTTCCCCCATGACAGTCTTATTTTCAGAATATGAAATCTCAGTGTACATAATGCCATCTCTCTCTCACATTCCTTGGCTTCTGTACTGATCTCATCAGTGATATCAGAAGAATGCAGGGATAAGGGTTTCCTCACTGGGGAAGGGAATCTAATCCTGCAGTCTTTGGACTGCCTCTCCTAGGTGCCAGCAGGGCCAAAAGATGCAGTCCTGACTGCTGCTACAGAGCCAGTCCAGATACAAATCACTACACTTTGGGAGATCACTAGAAATGCTGGCACCAGCTCCTAGCGTGAGCTTCTCAGCAGCCACGTGAGTGACTGAAAGAAAAACCTGCAGTGCATATTTAGAATTCAGACAAGTTCTTTTCCCCTTCCCAGTCTCTTTTTAAATGTTTCTTTTGAACTGTGGGCTAAAGGCTTGAAATACAGATTAACTCTTTTAAAAATCTACTTGCAGGAGAAGTGGGTCTTGAAAGCTGGACAGCAGTGTTGTTGGGAGTGGGGCTGGGCTGATGCTAACCTACTCCCTAGTTTCAGGGTGCTTCACTTTTCTGTGTTCCTGTGTCATGGACTACAGAATGGAAGAAGGTACACTTGGCATTACCTGAATTTGTTCCCCCTTCTTTTAAAGAAAGTGGGATTTGAAAAATTTGGTGTGGCTGCTACAAACAGCTGTTGTTTTCCAGTATTGGGTGGCCATCCCTTTTATTTACTCCTAAATTGAACCACGAAGTGGGTGTATCTACACGAGATGCTACGGCAACATTGGACCCATGTGCCACCGAGACTGCTAGTACCTAGCACAGTGGAGCGCATGGGTAGATATGCCCAGGGTATAAGAATTACCACAGCTGCCTCCATCAGCAAATTCCTTGCTCAAAGGATCCTGAATCTGAGAGGACCAAAGGAGAATAGAGCTTGCATGAATGTGTTTGTATTGTTTATATAGTAATAATTTGATAAGTACCATTTATTAAAGATATTTCTACTGTGTGCCTCATCCTACTATCTAGGCAATGAATTCAACACAAGGTTTACAATTTTACTGCTGCTTTAATTTCTGTGTATTTAGTACTCCTGTAGAATATTATTGAGGCAAGGATTAAAAAAACAGATTAAATACTTACAGGAATAAAAATAGCATCTGCAGTTATTCTAGGTAGAGAGTAAAAGTAACAAAGCCTCCTTGTTTTCAGAGTTTGGGACATAATCACCAGCTGGGATCAGACAGAGATCTTCCCCCTTAATACAGCACTGCAGAGTTAGCTAGGAGCACTGGGAGATGTTTTATCATCCTCTGAAGCATCCAGAGCCCCACTGCTGCAGACAGGATACTAGGCCATTGGTTTGATTTGGTATGAAGGTTCACATGATTCCTCACCTTTTTTCTTTGCTCCTTCTGTCTTTCTCTGAACTCCTCTATTCTTTTCAGTTCATCCCTCAGCATTACTGCCAGCTGAATATGTGAGTTTCCAACATTTTCAATTTCTAAGATAGATTAGAATTGATAGTCAGTGGAGAGGCCTTTAATAAGTCAAAGGCCAAACCTTTTGAGCAGGATACGCACTGGGAGGCAGCAGG